CAAACCGAGGAACGTGACGTGGAAGAGGGGACGGTCGAAGGACTACCACAGGTCGGGGCCCAAGGCGACATGATAAGAGAGCCCACCCCAGTGTTAGAAGAATTGGAAGGAAAGGATTTTTTGCAGGAGCAGCGGGAAGATCTCATGCTCAGCCAGGCCTGGGAACAAGCCCGCGGGCCAATGGAGGACAGCGGCCCCAAACCCAGGGAAACCCAAGGACCCTATTTTGAGGTAGGAAATGACCTCCTGTATCGGGTAGTTGAGGGGGTCGAAGGGGAGGGGCAAAGGAAGCAACTCCTAGTACCCCAGAGTTATCGCCGGAGGGTCCTAGACTTGACACACTCCAACCCTTGGGCTGGACACTTAGGCTGGGAGAAAATGGAACAACGGGTCATCCAAAGATTCTTTTGGCCAGGTGTCTACCGGGAGGTCCGGGAGTTTTGTGAATCCTGTCCCGAATGCCAGCGCGCCAACCTACGACCCGCCCCTAAGGTGCCATTGGTTCCCTTACCAGTTGTAGGGGTCCCCTTCACACGTGTAGGGCTAGACTTAGTCAGGCCTTTTGAAAGATCAAAGAGGGGTGCCCGATATATTATGGTGGTGGTCGATTACGCCACCCGTTACCCGGAGGCGGTGCCACTAAAGAATACTTTAGCCTCCACGCTGGCTGAAAAGCTAGTTGAAATATTCTCGAGGGTAGGGATTCCCGAGGAAATCCTAACTGACCAGGGGACTAACCTAACCTCGAATTTGATGAAGGAATTGTGCAGGCTGTTCAAAGTGACCGCGCTGCACATGTCCGTCTACCACCCGCAGACTGACGGGTTAGTAGAGCGCTTCAACCAGACACTGAAGGCGATGTTGAGGTGATTCGTAGTTGAGGAACCACAAGAATGGGATCACCTACTACCCGCCCTGCTCTTCGCAGTCCGTGAGGTACCCCAGGCTTCCACCGGATTTGTGCCGTTCGAATTGTTGTATGGTAGGAGACCCTGGGGGATCCTGGATCTGCTCAGGGAAACCTTGGAAGATCAGGGATCCAACGCTAGGGGGTCCGTAACCTATATTATAAAACTGCAGGAAAAGTTGCAACGACTCGGGGAGTTCGCTACAGCTAACTTACTGGAAGTTCAAGCCAGGCAAGCGCAGCATTATAATCAAACAGCAAAGGTACGGGAGTTTAACCCCGGTGATAGGGTACTCCTCTTGCTCCCCGTGAGAGAGTCAAAGTTATTAGCATGCTGGCAGGGTCCATTTGAAGTGGTGAAGCGGATCGGCCGCGTAGATTACGAGGTAAGGCTATCGGGCCGGAGGAAGGATACTAAGGTGTACCATGTGAATCTGTTAAAAAGATGGCACCCCAGAGAGGCTTTATTGATTATGCCCCCAGAGCACCAGATAGAATTAGGGCCCGACCCGGGAGGAGCGGTGGGAGATGAAGCCGTGACTATGGGCACCGATTTAGATGAGAAACAAAGGACAGATGTGCGGCAACTAGTTAAGCGATACGCTCACGTCCTGTCCTCCCTACCGGGACGGACGACATTGACAAGTCACCACATAGCCACCAAACCCGGCCAGAAAGTGCGGGACGGGGTTAGACCCTTACCCTATAAGATGTGGGACCCCGTTAAACAAGAGCTTCAGACCATGTTAAATTTGGGCGTCGTTGAGGAGTCCAAGAGTGAGTGGCGGAGTCCTATAGTCCTAGTGCCCAAACCTAATGGAGCACTCTGCTTCTGCATAGACTTCCGTAAAGTCAATGCGATTTCATGGTTTGACGCATACCCAATGCCGCGAGTGGACGCCCTGTTGGAATGGCTAGGGCAAGCCAGATTCCTGTCTACCTTGGACCTCACTAAAGGGTACTGGCAAATCCCGCTCACTCCGGCATCCCGGGAAAAAACAGCTTTTTCGACACCCTTTGGCCTCTTTCAGTTTGTCACGATGCCGTTCGGATTACATGGAGCCGCAGCCACGTTTCAAAGACTAATGGACAAAGTGCTGCGAAATCACCAGGAGTATGCAGTGGCGTATATTGATGATATTATCATCTACAGTTGTTCGTGGGCCGATCATTTACGGCAGGTTGGGGCCATGCTGGGGGAGCTAGGAAAAGCGGGCCTAACGGCCAACCCTGGTAAATGCTGCATAGGGCAAAACGAGGTAACCTACTTCGGAAACACAGTGGGGAGAAGGGGGGGGGGGGGAAGGGGAGCAGGCCTTACAAGAATACAAAGCCCCTTCCACAAAGAGGCAAGTTCGTCAATTTTTAGGGCTAGCTATTTATTATAGGAGATTTGTCCCCCATTTTGCAACAATAGCGGCCCCCCTAACAGAGCTGAAAAGAAATAACCAACTACGGAAAGTCAGTTGGTCCGAACCCTGCGAACGAGCGTTTCAGACGCTTAAACTCCGACTTTCCCAACCTCCGGTGCTAGCACAACCCAACTTCTCGAAACCTTTTATTTTACAGACTGATGCCTCAGAGGTGGGTCTGGGCGCATTGTTGTCGCAGGAAGAAGACGGGGTGGAACACTCCATACTGTATTTGAGCCGTAAGTTGCTCCCCAGAGAACGCCAATATGCAACAATTGAAAAGGAAGCGCTGGCCGTGAGGTGGGCTGTCGAAGCTCTATAGTATTACCTCTTGGGCGCACCCTTCCTCCAAGCACGGACCATGCCCCCTTAAGATGGTTAAGTTCAATGAAGGAAACAAACCTCCGTATAATGCGGTGGTATTTAGCCCTACAGCCTTATGAGTTTGAGGTAGCCCACCGACCAGGTAAGAAGCATAACAACGCAGATTTCTTCTCCAGAACAATGGAAGGAGATGGAAACGAAAACCTAAACCAAGACTTAGAGGGGAAGGTGTGTGACGGGCCGGCCCTGTCACTCGCGCCACGTCCAGGCAGGCAGGCAGCTCGCACGGCGAGCGAAGAGCCGGGGAAGAGCTGGCTGCATTGCCGCGCATGCGCGGCAAGCCGGGAGCCGCTTTTAAACGTGGCCCTGGCACACCTGAAAGGGGGACACGTGCCCGCAAGGGGGAACGGCGGTGGAGGACACCAAGGAGGGACGGAGGCCACAGGGAGGGGCCGACGGACCGTGGAGGCAGCGGGCAAGCGGAGGACCCAGACAGCGCCTCCCTACCCTCCCCCCCAGAGAAGAGGGTGCGTGCTGAGAACCGCGGCAGAGAGCCCGAGCCGGGACTGACCAGACCCCAGGCCACAGAAGGGCAACCAGGCGATGCAAGACCACGGGAGTGACGCCCTGACCTGGACGGTGTCCCTGGACTGGTGAGAGCTGGACTAGAGGGAGCCCTGAGATGGGGATCTCGGAGGGGGAGGAGGGCACGGGGGTTAAGTAGCAGGGTCCTGGTCATAGCGGGGCTCGGCCCCGTTATAAGAGAACCCTACTACGCCCTATAGGCCAAGAGAAAAGGGGTCAGGGGTAGCGGGGAGCCCCTCCGTGAACTGAACGCGGGCTCCCTTACCCCACATTCCTACGGGGCTAGAATGGTTCCCCCGTGACAACATGCAATATATTATTCTCAACAGAGGTCATTGCAAAGAATAAATAGAAAATAATATGCATGGGCAGTTGTTAATGTTGTATAATAGAGTCTATATATTTTACAATTCCTTCAGGAGGGCTTAAAAAAAGATAAAGACAGTCCAGTTTTTATTTAAATTTTACCTGAACCATAGCACTTTTTTCAGCTACAAAATACAAACGTGCTCAATTATCTTTGGCTCATTCTCAGAGACTGACAGAACCAATGAGGTAACCTGACTCTCTCAGAACAAATACTTTGCCCAAATAGTTTTCTGAACTCTGAGCAGGAGTGAACATACAAATGCCAAAGTGCAGGTATTTTTTTAGCATGCAACCCTAAATGGTTCCAAGAGCAACCCTCCGGAAAGCAGAAATACAAAATTGTGCCTAGCTAAGCCATTTGCATTGTCCTCCAATTTGTCTTTGGATTCTTTAGCTTTAGTAATGCATTGTTAAATTATAGTTTTTAGAATAGAATTAATTAAGAGATCAGTACAAATGGTAAAATTACTGCACCATGCTCAGAAAGTACTGTCTTACATTCTTAAATTTTGCATTTTTATTACAACTATGACTTTTAAATAAGGAAGAGCAAAAAAATAAAAAAAAAGAAAATGAAAAGAAAAAAAACCCTCCAAATTCTCTTTTCTTGATGAATTCTTCATTCACCTAGTAGCTCCAATTTTTTTCATGCAGTAGTTTTCTTCAGAAGAAAAAAAAATTATTTAACCCCAGGCATACCATACACTCGTAAGTTCCCTTCTAGTGACACTCAATAGGACTGTCACACAATAATCGTGTTGCAAATCCAGAGATACTTTTTTGTTCCATACAAATTAAACAGTAATAACATTCATGTTGTTGTGGCCATGTTGGTCCCAGGATATTAGAGAAACAAGCTGGTGGGATAACATCTTTTGTTGGACCAAATTCTGTGTAAGCTTGAAAACTCACCAACAGAAGTTGGTCCAATAAATGATTTTATTCCATCACCTTTTTTTATAGTATGTAATGTGCTTGTGTCTTTCATCATTTCAAACCTTTGAAAATATAAATGGTTTATATAAAATATAAACATTCCTGTTTAATAATTATAAGTGCAATTATGGCATTATCCATTCTAGTTTGCCTTTAACAGTAACTTTTCTTTTCAATATGGTCACAGTTTTATTGAGTTTAAAGCTGGAACAGAGTATTAAATGAACTTTTCTGGCCTTCTGTATATCCCAAGCCATTATTTGTTACCCAGCTAGTTCAACAGTATGCCCAAGACTTTATTTAGACCAAAGCACCTCAGTTCCCAGGAAACTAAAGATTGTGACACAGTGAAAACGGAGGGAGGTTATGGTGATTCCAAAGCCTGAGTACCATGCAGTGGCTGGGAACTGATTAGATAAAATATGATCCTAGCAGAAAGAGAAAGGCAAACAATCCTCCATGCTCTGTCAATCTGACCTGGGGAGACAGTTCTTTCTTGGCTCCAGATCTGGCAATCGAATATACCCTGAGCACATGAGAAAGACACATCAGCCAGGCTCCTAAAAGAAAATTCTTCATAGTCCCTCATAGCACCAGTCTGGCCTATCCCACTGAACTTAAATCTCCTGAAAATAACAATAACAATTGGAGGAATACTTTGCAATATCTGAAGAGCTTTAGAGGTTACACACCAGGGTTGTGTCTAGACTGGAAGTTTTTCTGCAAAATCATCTGATTTTGCGGAAAAACTTGCCAGCTGTCTACATTGGCTGCTTGAATTTCTGGAAAAGCACTGACGATCTCATGTAAGATCGTCAGCGATTTTCCTGAAATACTATGCTGCTCCTGTTTGGGCAAAAGTCTTTTTCCGAAAGACTTTTCCGCAAAAGAGCCAGTGTAAGCAGCACAGTAGTGTTTTCCGCAAAAAAGCCCCGATCGCAAAAATGGCGATAAGGGCTTTTTTGCGGAAAAGCGTCCGTGGCCAATCTAGACGCGGTTTTCCAAAAATGCTTTTAACGGAAAACTTTTCTGTTAAAAGCATTTTCGGAAAATCATGCCAGTGTAGACGTAGCCTAGTAGTATTTGAAGAAATATTTCATCACAACTATGAATGATCAGCACATATCATATACATTGGTTTTGCAGATACAATGGAAAATTGTTGAACAGTCCTGTGACATCTTAGAGACTAACACATTTATTAAGTTATGGGCTTTCGTGAGTAAAAACCCATGATCTAATACATTTGTTAGTCTCTAAGGTGTCATAGGAAGGTTTGTTGTTTTTACGGTTAGAGACTAACATGGCTACCCCTCTGAGATTTTTATGATGCAAAAATCTTTAATTTTTCTTCAGTCCTTACTCAGGTGAAACTATCTCTGACTTCAGTGTGTATCATTCTTATTACTTTTTATATATAAAGTGAAATATATTCTCATCCTTAACTTTCTGAATTAGGTTTTCTTTCTGGGATAGTACCATGGTGTGGTAAATTCATGTTTTTTTTTTTAAATGACAGTTGCTAACAGGACAGGAAATAGCTGGCTCCCTGGTATGACAGTAACTTTCATAGCTAGGGCTGAGGTCCCAGAGTAACTGCAAGATATCCTCTTCATTTGAGAAAGATTTCAGGGAACTGCTTTTTCCTTTAACCAGCCTGTACACTCATTAATGGATCTCCAAGTCACCTTGTTGTTTCAGGCCAATTTCACAAGCCAAATACACATGGAAGGATTGGAGCTTAACTTCATTTACAAGTTTAATTCTTAGGCAAATGGAATGAACAGAGATATCAGCTGGCTGGCAACTACTTTACACATCCTAATGACTTAACCAAATAAACAAACAATGGAGGTGCTAAATGTTCTTATCAGCCTCTTGTAACTACTTGAACCATCTACTCACTGTTTCTCTCTTTTTTTCTTCTTCTTCCCCTGCCCATCCTGTTTTCTCTTTTTTTCCTTCCTCTTCCCCTTTAATTACTCTTGGATCTGGACTTTTAATATTCCAGTCAGCTGAAGAAGTGGGTTGTGCCCTGTCACGGGGTGCGGCCCCAGTCCGCCGCCCCCACTGCTTTGCTTACAGACAGGTAGTGCCCAATGCACCGCTTGCTCGCGTACCTCCTTGGCGGAGTGGGGGGTCCGGGCCCGCCCTCACTCCGGACCCCGACCCAGGGCCCTGACACCGAGAGCGTGCCTCTCGGTGGTAGCAGGGGGGTAGTACCCCAAACACACCTGCTCCCGGGATACACGACCCGCCCTGGGTCCTCCTCCACTCCGCTGGGCCGCTCGGCCTACGTGGTCACCCTGACCGGCCCCTTCTGCTCCGGGGCTACTCCCTCCGTCGCCTCCCACTCGCCGTCCTCCCTTTGCTTTCCCTCTCCTTTCCCCTTGCCGGACGCACCCCGCGCCTTTTCTACTTCCCCGGCTCTTCCGGGTTCCCTCTCCCCTTCCCCCGTCGCAGCCGTGACGTCCTCGGCCGCGTCCCTGGGCGCGCCGTGATGACGCGTCACGGCCTCCCCGGCCCCGCTCCCTCGATCGCCGGGCCCTGCCGCGGCCGCGTCTAGCTCCCCGGGGGTCCCCCGC